ACACACTGGTGAGCTCAGCAACATAAAAAGGCATGGACGTCCACGGAAGACAACAGTGGTGGATGATCGCAGGATTTGCTCTATGGTAAAGAAAAACCCATTCACAACATCCAGACAAGTGACGGACACTCTCCAGGAGGGGGGGCTATCATTGTCAAAGTCCACAATCAAGAGAAGATTTCACGAGAGCAAATACAGAGGGTTCACCACAAGGTGCAAACCATTCATAAGTATGAAGAATAGAAAAGCCAGATTACACTTTGCCAAAAAACATCTAAAAAAGCCAGACCAGTTCTGGAAAAGCATTCTTTGGGCGAATGAAATGAAGATTAATCTGTGCCAGAATGATGGGAAGAAAAAAGTGTGGAGAAGGCTTGGAACAGCTCATGATCCAAAGCACACAACGTCATCTGTAAAACATGGTGGAGGCAGTGTGGTGGCATGGGCATGCATGGCTTCCAGTGCACTGGGTCATTGGTGTTTATTGATGATGTGACAGAGGACAGAAGCAGCCGGATGAAGTGTTTAGAGATATATTGTCAGCCCAGATTCAGCCAAATGCAGAAAAGTTGATTGGACGGCGCTTCACAATACACATGGACAATGATCCAAAACACACTGCAAAAGCAACCCAGGAGCCTTTGAAGGAAAAGAAGTGGAATATTCTGCAATGGCCGAATCAATCACCTGATCTCAACCCAATTGAGCATGCATTTCACTTGCTGAAGGCAAAACTAAAGGCAGAAAAACCCACAAACAAAGAACAACTGAAGACAGCTGCAGTTAGAGCCTGACAAAGCATCAGAAAGGAGGAAACCCAGTCTGTGGTAATGTCCATGGGTTCCAGACTTCAGGCAGTCATTACCAGTAAAGGATTCTCAACAAAATATTAAAAGTTAACATTTTATTTATGATTATATTCAATTGTCCAATTACTTTTGGTTCCTTGAAAAAGGGGGGATGGCTACTCTAAAGAGCTGTAATTCCTAAACCCTTCCTCCAACGTGGATGTACATACCTTCAAATTAAACCTGAGAGTGTGCACTCAGCCCATATCCGTTATATAACTATAGCTTGAATATGTTTTGGTAAATATCTGAAAAAACTAAAATTGTGCCTGTGTCCAAATATATATGGACCTAACTGTATCCAGACATTCTTCCATGGTGTGCGGATATGCGTTTTTTTAAATGGACAAACGATCTAAAGGGTTGATTTATTTCCTACATCCTGGTTGATCTTGGCTGTACTCACTGGCCGCACTCCAGCATTGTGAACACAATGGCAAATAGACGCGTGACAGGGGAAGCTTGTATTGATTTTTTTTTTTTTTTTTCTTTTGTGCTTTTGTAACATTTAAAGCTCCATGCACATGGGATGTTTTAATAACTCTGGTAACGTTGGCTGTGTAAAGTCATATTAAAAACATGTCTCTTTAGCATTTTTGTATTAGCATTTAGTGGCATTTTGCCACATTTTTTTCGGGTTTTTTTTTATCGCATTTGCGTTTTTTTTGTCAGTTTTTAGTTTTTTGGGTTTTTTTACCCAAAAAAAAAGATTTGGGAAGGGGGGAGTGTCAAAAAAATGTCCAAAAACAGTGGTTTGCTGTAATTTACTGCGTTTTGTCGCATTTTTCAGCGTTGGAGCGTTTTTACAGCTAAAAAAAACTCCTCTAGAAACCCACTAGTTCTGGGGGGTTTTCCAGCCAAAAAACGTTGATTACAGTCTGTGCATGGACACACAGGATAACATGCTGGGGACTTTACTGGCTGTAGATAAAAACATCAAAAGCTAAAAACAGCCGCTGTAAAAACGTCCCGTGTGCATGAGAACTTAAGGTTGGTCCAGTAAAACCTGAGACTAGCCCGGTATAGGAGGGAAAAGGTCTGTGCCCCCCCCCCTTTTTTTTTGCTCTGGCCCTCCTTTTGCTCTGGTCCTCCTTTCTTTTGCTCTGCCCCCCTTTTTTTTGCTCAGCACCCCTTTTTTTGCTCTGGCCCCCCTGTAGCTCTGCCCCCCTTCCTTTTGATCTGCCCCCTCTTCTTTTCCTCTGGCTTTCCTTTTTTCATCTGCCCCCCCCCCTTTTTTTTTTCCTCTGCCCCCTCTCCTTTTACTGTGGCCCCCACTTTTTCTTTTTTTCTCTGGCCCCCCTTTTTTTCCTCTGGCTTCCATTTTGTTTCTCTGGCCTCTTTTTGCATTAAACTCCCTCCTTTTTCTCTGGTCTCCATCCTTTAGGGCCCCCCTCGTTTTTGCTCTGGCCCTACTCAGATCTGAATCTTACATTTTAAAATCAACACACCCCCCTTCCTTTTAAAAAACCAAAAAGATGAGATTGTCCTATATTGAAATCCTTAAAGTATTAAATGCTCAGCGCTTTTTAACCTGACACATTGAGCGCAATAAATGAATCATTTCCCAGTATGCTATTTGTTAAAACTTTTACCCCTGCACTTTCAGTTTACATCTTTCAATGTGCCGGTCACCTGCTGTATCAGTGCTGCTTCCCTGAACTTCCATTCTTCACAGGAAAGAGTTTACAGTGGACAGCATAGTAGAAAAGGAAGGAGGAGAGTGCCTTGCTATGTTAGCCTATGGGGCTGTTTGTTTTTATTGGTGACAACAGTGTAAGAAGAGTTCCTGCATGCAAAGGTGTCTCCTTAGGATTCTGCAAGAGAAAGGAGCCACTCTGATCAGGAACCCTGGGGCAGTGGTCATGGCACCGGCGTATACTGTCATGTAGACAAGGATTAAAGATAAAGTCAAGGCCTGGACTGAGCGAAGTATAAGGGAGGGCCAGCATGACTGGGGCGTGCAGACGAGGCGGAGAGTGTAATTTGGGTAGAGTATAGGCAAAGAAAAAGGGGATGGGGGGTGGTTACTTACTTGATTGGTGTACGCAGCATTGTGGGTGGTCTTGCAGGATTTGAAATGGGGGGTTGTGTCTTGTCGGAGTCAGTCGGAGCTTGTGCCATCATGGAGGTGGTTTCGTGCCTTGCTATCTTAGCCTATGGGGCTGTTTGTTTTATTGGTGACAACAGTGTAAGAAGAGTTCCTGCATGCAAAGGTGTCTCCATAGGATTCTGCAAGAGAAAGGAGCCACTCTGAACAGGAAACCTGGGGCAGTGATCATGGCACCAGCGTATACTGTAATGTAGACAAGGATTAAAGATAAAGAAGCTTCATATGCTATAAATAAATCCACTCCTGAAGTTGCTTAAAATAACTGAGGGGGGTTTAATGTCCTGGGTTCTCAGGATCTAATGTCCTGTTTCGTAACATTCATTTATTTTTTAAAATACGATCAGTGTAAATATCGGCTGCAGCCGTGAGCTTGGTACTGGCTTTTTCTGGCACCCCTCGGCTGTCATGTTACAAGCATGACTCCCACTGGCAGAGGCATGATGGGCCTTGTCGTTCTGCAACAGCCAGGGGGCCGTCCGTTTGATACCCCTGGGAAACCATGGGTACTCCTCTCGAAAATTGTGGGTACACTGCGTTGCACCCAAGTTACCTCCAAACTGCAGCATGGCAGCATAAAACTGACTTAGGCCTCATTCACATGGCCGTAAAACATTTTACTGATGTAAATGTGATGAGAAAAGTTCCCGCGTAATGATCTGTAAGTCCTATTTCACACCAGTGCAGCTTTGAAGCCGACTATTCTGTGCAATTTCATTGCAGCTTTGCTGACACTTTGTGGGATTTCATTGAACAGATATCAATGCAAGTGGCAATGAAGTCGCCCAAAAATAGCGTAGGGACCTTTTTCTTGAGTCTCACTAATTTGAGCAGTTCCATTGCTGGTAATGGGGTGCGACTTGTCATGCGACCTTGAACTTGCATGACAAATCTGGTGTGAACCAGAGCTTAAATACTTGCGTATAGATGCATTTATACATATTCGTAAATAACCTGTTTTTGTGATCATTTACTTTTACTCTTTGTTTAGACTTAATATATGCACTTACAAACACGTATACATCTATTTATACACATAAAGGCCGGTTCACACCAGAGAAATGCATTTTTATGCGATTTTTCAAAAGGTTCCTAGGGTTTTTTGTTTTTTTTTTTTTTTTGCTGTAGTGCGTTCCAATGCTTTTAGATGCATTCTGATGCATTTTTCCACATTCCAGTGCAGTTCCTTGCAGAAAAAATGCAGCATGTTCAACTTTTTGTTGTTGACTGTACTGGAGCTCACTGCAATGGTGAGAACTTTGCCATTGGAATCCATGTAACCTACTGTCCATGCGTTTTGGATGCAAAAAAAAACACTCTGGACTGCATGTGGTGTGCACCAGCCCTAAGCGTGTAAAGCGCATGTTCTTAAATGCAGATTTTGGATTCTGTCTCAGGCTAGATTCACGTATATGCGGGTGGAGCCGCTGCGGATCCGCACAAAAATCTGTGCAGCCGCACCACCCACACAGAAGAATGCAGACCTGCGGGCGGGTACCATTAATTCTAATGGCATGTTGCTCGCACTGGAAATCGCAACTGCAGTGGGAACCAAGGTTCCCGTGTGGACTGCAGTTTCCAAAGAAGTGCAGGGACTCCTTCCCTGCGTGTCCCGGGGCACGGGAGTCCATTCAAATGAATGGGCTCTCGTGCCCGCGCAAAATGCGGCCCGCAGGAACGCACATATGTGAACCAGGGCTTATGGATCTGAATGCAGTGTATGTTTATGCACATGTGTGTGAATGGCTCCATTGAAAACAATGCAGCTGCATTCAGATTCGTCATTAAAAAATACTTGTGTATGCATGATGCCTGATCAAAGATGATGCTGTCCTTCTGGAGAGAGAAAATCAGGTGATGTCCTTGTCATGGGGAGCTCTGTGATCTCTGTGAGAAGTGTGAATACCTGGAAGTGTTACGGAGCATGCATGTACAGAACAGGAAAAATCTGTCTGATGCTAGGCCTGCTTTATTACCATTTCATTATGTGTGTTCTTCTAATGCTGCCATTTCACTTTGTTGTTTTTTTTTTTTTTTTCTGACAGCCCCGCTGCCGGTGAGACAGAAGTGTGCCGTGTGGAGGAAATGCCAGCCATCAGAGTTTGTGTACAGTGTACGAAGTGGTGGTGCAAAGTCCTACTTGCCCGTGATATGTCTGGAAGATGAGATGTAAGTGTTGCACAGATCATGGCAATCAAAACTTTTGTATAAAGTCAACAATGATTCCTTTTTTTTTTTTTAACTCCACTTAAGCCGGACACAGGTGGATCGAATCTCCGCTGGTTCAACAGGCACCTGTCGAGATTCGATCCATCTATGGGCAGGCTGGTTGTAGTGAAGTTGTTCCATCAATTGACTTTACGACAACTCATTGATGCATGTGGGAAGTGAAGGCTGGTCCATGTAGTCTTATCCAGTAGAAGAGCTACTGTAGTTCAAAATACTGAAACAGTTAATACTAGTTCTGATAGAAAGGTGTCAGAACACACAGAGCTTCACAGTTGGTTGTGTATGAGGCCACTTAGGTGCAGGCCGATCAGGGTGTCTAAGCTGACCCGTGTCCACAGCCCAAAGTGCCTACAAAGGGGACGGAGCAATGGAAGAAGGTGGCCTGGTTGGTGAGTTAAAAAATGGTTTGAGGAACACAATGCGTTTGAGGTGTTGACTTGGTCTCCGAATTCTCCAGATGTCAATCCAATCAAGTGTCTGTGGGAGGTGCTGGAAAAATAATTCTGATCCATGGAGGCCCCACCTCGTAACTTTCAGGATTTTCTACTTGCGGCTTGGTGCCTTGGCATACTTTCAGAAGTCTAGTGGAGTCCATTCCTCAACGGGTTATGGTGGGTGGTCATAACGCTATGGCTGAGGGTTATATGTGGACCATAGCACGTGCCCATTGGTGCAAATGAGCCCTTCAATTTTAGATATGAGGGGATGGTTACAGGTTCATAGCGAGTGAGGGAGCAGTGGGATTGGTGGGTTGTTGTTTTTTTTTTTTTTTTTTTAATAAATTATATAATTTTCCAGCTTCCTAATGAAAATGTTCTTATTAGTGATCTGTTCTTTGGATTTGTCACTCAGATTACTAGGCGGAGGTAAGAAGACCGGAGATAGAGGGTTCAACTTCGTAATCGTCAATCGTAAGTTTGTCTATTGCATAGAAATAATGGCTCAGCTACTGTAAACTCTAAGGCCCCTTGCACACCTCAGAGATTTGTAACTTGAAGCTCCAAAGCACTTGAGAAGAAAAAAATCCATTATTAGTGGAGCTGGTTTGCATCTCCACTCCAAGTCGCCTGAAGCTCAAAAAAGTTCTGGAACTTTTTTATTCACTCAAATCAGGTAGATTTACATGCTTTTGAGTGTTTTTAATTATATAGATATTACATAGGAAATGTACGATTCATGCATTTTTGAGCGTTTCTGCAAGTTCTGACCCATGTTTTTGGAGTGTTTTTCAGTGGCCATCATTAGTAAGGGCAGATGATTAGAGTGTCATTTACTTTCTGGAATCCTTCTGCCCTTATCTCAGGCATAGGCTGAGCTGAGAACCCCCCCCCCCCCCCCCCCCTCCTGAATACTCCTGAGATATATGACGTAATTTGCATAGGCACATAAACCAGGAAGTAACTGAAGAAATGTGAAAAAGAAGTTTATACAAGTAAATATGATATACTTTCCTATCTATTTACTAATGGGAGCAGCATAGTTACATAGTTAGTCTGGCTGAAAAAAGACAAACGTTCATCCAGTTACATTACATTACATTACATTGAGTTTATATAGCGCCAAAGGGTTTGCTCAGCGCTGTACAATAGAGGGGGGGACAATACATGAAACATTACAGCAACAACAAACAGCACACGAGGGGTTATAGGGCCCTACTCTTTCGAGCTTACAGTCTAGGAGACTGTAGTTCATTAACATATCTTTTGTTTCCAAGGGTGGGAAAGGTCTGAGGTGTGAATTGTCATGATGTGTGACCAGCTTGGTAGGAACATCCTGTGTTCAGTGTTTTGTCCATCTGAGTACCTTGAAAATGCTTTCCATGCATTTTTCACGATGTTAAAAGGCTCTGGACAGCATCGGGAACTGGAAGAGTTAAAAAATAATTGCAAACGCTTATAAACACAGTTTAACCGCATTTACAAGCGCTTTGCGTTTGAAACGCTGATAAAATCGACGTCTGAACGCAAGTTTGTTGCATTAAAAAAAAACGACTGTAAACTCAACTGCCTGTAAGCGACTATAAACGGCTATGTGTACACGGACACATAGGAAAACATTAGGGAGAGTTCAGGGGCTGCTGAAAAAACGCTGAACAGCTCCTGAACGTCAGTTTATCAGCTGCAGTGTACATGAGCCCTAACCGTGTAACATCATCTTTTCTATTTTACCAAACAATTTTGTAACATATTGTGTGTTTGTGCATTAACCACTTGCCGCCCTGCCACTACATATATACGTGTGCAGGGCGGCACTGGGGCGCAAAAGCACGTTTTAAAACGAGCTCTGCGCTCCCAACGTTTCCGCGGGCAGGGGGCGCGCGCGCGCTCCTGCTGACCCACGGGTGACACCATTTGATCCCGGAGGGATCAATCATTCGATTTCAGCCAGTGATGTCCGGCTGAAATCAGATGATCGGTTCCTGTCCTATCCTGTCCTGTGTTGACAGTTACACAGGACAGGATATGATGTCATTCTTCTCTGCCTGGACATATTCCGTTCCAGACAGAGAAGAAGACATACAAATTGTGAGTAAAACAGCACATACCCACAGTTAGAACACTCTAGGACACATTTAACCCCCTGATCGCCCCCCCCCCCCCCAGTTAACCCCTTCACTGCCCTGTCACCAGTGTCACTGATCAGTGAGCCGATTTTTACTGATCACTGTATCAGTGTCACTGGCGACTTCCGATAGTGTTAGCGCCCCTCCCAGATAGCACCAGTTTGCCCGCCAGTACACCAGTAATCCCATTTAACCCCTTAATTCCCCCCCCCCCCATTTAACCCCTTCACTGCCCTGTCACAAGTGTCACTGATCAGTGAACCGATTTTTACTGATCAGTGTCGCTGGCGACTTCCGATAGTGTTAGCGCCCCTCCCAGATAGTGCCAGATTGCCCGCTAATACACCAGTAATCCCGTCTAACCCCTTGATCGCCCCCCCCCCGAGTTAACCCCTTCACTGCCCTGTCACCAGTGTCATTGATCAGTGAACAGATTTTTACTGATCACTGTATCAGTGTCGCTGGCGACTTCCAATAGTGTTAGCGCCCCTCCCAGATAGCGCCAGTTTGCCCGCTAATGCACGGGATTTTTTTTACCAAAAACATGTAGCAGAATACATTATTTGGCTTAAATTTATGACTAACTTTGAGTTTACGATATATTTTTTATAGCTGAAAGTAAAAAATATTGTTTTTTTTTAAATTTTCGTGATTTTTTTGTTTATAGCGCAAAAAATAAAAAGCGCACAGGTGATCAAATACCACCAAAAGAAAGCTCTATATGTGTGAAAAAAAGGACATAAATTTCGTTTGGGTACAGCACTGCATGACCGCGCAATTATCATTTGAATAAGTGCAGCGCCAAATAGCAAAAAAAAGGCCTGGTCATTAAGGGGGGTAAATCCTCAGGAGCTCAAGTGGTTAAAATTAATAAAAGTGTATTTTTTGAAAAAAAATGTGTTTGAAAAACTGTTGAGCAAATACCGTTTGACATAAACAAAAATTACCTGTAAAGGCTTTTAATGCGTCGCCTATGGAAATTTTTAGGTACTGTCTTTTGATGCCATTCCACAGGCATACGCAATTTTACAGCATCATATGTTGGCTGTCTATTTACTTGGTGTAACATCATCATCTTTATATGTTAACAAACAATTAGGTATTATATGGTGTTTGTGTGCAATAAAATTAATCAGTGTATTTTGTCCCAAAAAAATTGTGTTTGAAAAACCGCTGCACAAATACCGTGTGACATTAACCTCCCTGGCGGTATTCCCGAGTGTAGCTCGGGGTAAAGTTTCAGCACCACAAGAGGTAACCCCGAGCTACACTCGGGAATACACTGCAGCGTTGCTCTGGGATCCCTTCTGCACTTACCTTGTCCTTCGCTCCTGCGATGTCCCCCCTGCAGTGTCCCCGGCAATTTCCTCCGGCCAATGCCAGCATCTGTCTTCCGAGTTCCGTTCCCTGCGACGTCGGGACGTACGGGGGATGGAACGGCGGGAAATTTAAAAATTTTAAAAAGTGACATTCACTCAATACACTAAAATCACATAGTATAACATTCCTGTATCAAACCATTTCACATACATTTTGTCCCGAGTGCTTTGTCCTGTGCCCTGCCTGCATTTTTACTGTTCTTTCTGCCTGGAAACTGAGAAACGTCCATGGCGTCCAAAAAGCGTCCCTTTAGGTCAAAATCGGTTTTAGACCGGCTGGAGAACAGCGATAGTAAATTAGAGCCACTTGCAGAATTGAGTGATAATGATTCGTGGGGAAATTCAAGTTTGCTCAGTGATGTGCAAACTTGGCGCTCTATTTCCAATTTCAGTATTTTTGGTTTGATTATATTATTGAATTAAATTTATTATTATTATATTATTATTTTTTATTTTTATTTATTATTTTATAATTTATGATTTAGTGTTTCAAATTTTAACATACCCGGGATGTTTACTAGACTCTTGTTCGGACAGATTTCAGTGAGTTATTCCTAAGAATTACAGGCCTACAATAAAAAAATGACATTATTTCCATGCAAAAATATGTACAGCTTTGAGCACAGAAATACTGACATAATCAGAAAGCTAAGGAGGCTACAAAAATAAATCCAGCACCCATCATTTTATTCTCTGAAGCCTCTGCAAAAAAAACATATATAATGTTTGGGGTTGTAAGTATTTTTTTTAGCAAAACAATACTGATTTTTACATGTAGGAGAGAAATGTCAGAATTGGCCCAATAGGAAAGTGGCTAAAATACTTGGAGATCCTGCCATGGAGGTTCCTGTGCAGGTTCTTTCTGTTATAGGGTGACAACGCTCTGCCATCCTTTCATTTTTCCCCTCTATTGTCCAATCTCTCCGCTGGAGACTATAGTTGGCTGTGCCATGTACATAGCACAAGCGTAGTTAAATATTGTGTAGACAACAGAGACATTCACAGGTGAGCTGACTTTACATGCCCCACACTTCAGGGATTATGGCTTTCAGACCTTGCCTGGTCTTGGTGTATTCAACAAAGATTTGTTGAATGCTCCACTGTTGTCTCCATTTGTTAACCAGGTTTGAGAAATGCCATGCAGCCATCTATGGAGTACATGTACACAGGAAGTGGCTGCAAATATTCGGCAGGAGATCAGAAGCACTGAGATGTAACAAAGGATAAAAAAATTAGGTGAAATATTTTATTTAGTTAAACATTGTTAATTATTTGATACACGGTTGTTTTAGTAAACTAAATGTCATTTAGTTTACATCTATTGTTAGATATTCATGTGAAAGAGACCAGTTTAATGTTAATATTCTTACCAAGCTGTGACATTCTATATACACGTGCAGGAAGCCATACTTCCTCATTTTGTATGCAGCGTCTGGTTCCTGCTTAGTAATGCTTTGCGGTGGAAATGCTTTCCTCGTCCTTTTGATGGTGCAGGGTCTGTCTGGCTGCAAACTAGAGACCTTCAACAATGAGGTGATGAATCCACAATGCTCCTGGAACACAAAGACCATGTCATGTTGGCAGGTGCAGGTTTATAAGCTGTCATCTGGACCCTCGCTTCAGTGCTCAGAGCCCTGGTGCCCAAACTGCTTCCCAGAGGCCACATGCGGCAATTTGGCCCCCCTCAGGGCTCCTACAGACACTGATCTGTGTTTCCCTGTAACCCTGTTATTGCAATGATTTCTAGTGGTCTCACATAATGAATGTCTCCTGAAGCATGTCCCCAGTCTCTGACCATCTTCCATACCATGCCCCCAGTCTCCCTGACTATCTCTTATATCATGTCCGCAGTCTCTGACCATCCCTTATACCATGCTCCCAGTCTCTAGGTATCTCTTGTATCATGTTTGCAGTCTCTGACCATCTCCTGTATAATGTCTGCAGTATCTGACCAATTCTTGTATCATAT